ATTTCAAAGTGTTCTATTAAGGAGAGGAATTCCAGCTACTCCGGAGCGGCCAGAATGGCCCTATATATATCCAAGATACTAAAGGAAAGGATACGTGGCCTTATATTGGCCACGTATGTGACAGAGTCACGAATGGGGATGGTGATCCTGAAGGATGACTATGGATGGGCTAACATAGCCCAGAATCCAACAGGTAACAGCAAAGCAGAGAAAGACTGCCAATAGCCGCGGTGGCATCATGGTGGGGTCACACTAAGCGGCCTGGGTCAGGTGTGAGATGATGGCATTGTTAACTGGTTCGTAGAGAAACTGCCGACAATGATGGAGTTTAGGGGGTGGATATTGTTGAACGCCGTTTACCGCTCTGGACTGATCTTTTCGCACACGGGGTAGAACCTTGGGCGGACTTGACGCGAGCGAGTAAGTGACGCCGAGTCCATGTGCTATATCGCGTGATTAACAGGGATGACAGGTGCCGACAAGCATTTCTGCACGGTCAGTTGCTACCGCTTTCACCTACTGGATTAACAGCGCACCTGCTCTGCCGCCTTTCGCCAAGCTTGTTTTCGATGGCAGCCCCGTCCCCCACCATAGCTCCAAGATATTCCAGGGCGTGGTTGTTCGCGACTCGATATGGCCCGTCGCTGTGAAGATGCAGTGGCTGTTTACGAACGAGACCTGCTAGCTAGGCAGCTGTATGTGTATGTATAGTATGAGACCTAGCCTAGCACGCCCGCGCGCCCTTTTGGAGGCCCAGGACCGCCGCTATGCGGCAGGCCCCCTGGCGTCAAAATTTATAACAACAATAAAAATGGGGTGTGTTGCTGGCCCAGGTCCACGCCCTCGGTCACATACGGTGTTTAGCCCACGTCCACAGCCAGCAGTAGCCTCCATCACCTACAGTCTACACACACATACACACAATACACTGCAGTTTTGCCCTGCAACAGAACCGATCTTATGTGCGCAGTAAATCCTACTTAGCATCCCCGTCGTCTATGCCGGTCCCACGTCATTTTCTCACTCCAGCCTTCCATCAAGCAAACGATGCTTTCCACGTAAATATATATGTTTTGCCAACGTCCTGATTTCCTTCGTAGACCTCGAGCTCGCTTCGGCTTCGGTTCCTCGGTTGTATCAATTCGGGTTCTCTTTGGAGGCCGTGGTCTTTTCCACACGGCCGGCCTGTCAGCGAAACCAGGCTATGGCCCAGGCTCCAGCGATGACAATGTGGTTGAGTCGGCCAACGATTCCATCGCCAGCCTCCTATTCTGCGCTTTGCTCTCTTCAGCTTTGCTAGCCTGCGCGGCAGACCCTGCATCATTGCTACAGCTTGGAGGACAGATTGTTGCGGCGTTCAATGGGCTCTGCGAGTCAGATGTAGATGATTGAGAGGATTCAACAGGGCCTAAGCATTATCCTTTTGCCAGAGGGGCTGGATCGGGGCGGAATGTTCGTGAGTCATCCTGATTGGCGTGCTGTATTCTGCCAATACATGCAGCCTCCCCTTAACTGAGTGACCCGCTATGGTGCAGGCTGTTCGACACATTTAATCCAACCACATGTACCGAGCAGGATGACCATACGACTGACTGGATGCAACGTTTGTTTGTTTGTTGTTTGTTTTGTTTGTTTTGTATTTAACGTGGGGGGTAGCTCCTCAGTAGTGCAAACCACGCCTCCCAGAGCCTCTGCATCGCAGGGTTGTGGAGGTCTCAAGATAATAAGTACAGTCAGTCCCGCTCACGGGCCCATCCCCGTTGTTGCAGCGGTATGACCTTGGGATCATCCATCTGGTCCTTTAAGAAAAGCTATCTATTAGGGGCAGATTGTTGAAAAGAACTTGTTTTTTTTTATGAATTTTGTCCATTCTGTGTTCCTCTCCCCTAAGTATTATAAACAAGCTGCCCTAGGCGAGTACCTAGGCAGTAGCCGGTTTTTCCCTAACCTCTTACAAAAGAAAATGTATTATGGTGTTTTCTTCTCACCATAGTTGCAGTGATCATTCGAGTCCGTATGCCCAAAGCGTTCATAGTATCTGGCAAAGTCACCATGTCCAGATCTGGCTACTAGAAGTCTGTGTAAAGTACTCCTCTTAAAATATATAAGGTCTCTTTTAGTTATTATATGTGAGTATACTTCTTGATATCTAGGTTCTGATTGGTCTTTTTATTATTGGTTGAATTCTTTCTTGTCCTTTTTTTTGAGATCTCTCTTAACCCAAGAGATTATAGGAAGGTTTGTTGTGTCTGTTTCTAGCATGGCACCCTCTTTTATTAGTGTGTTGGCAGCTTTATTGCCATTAATATCTCTGTATCCAGGAATCCATTTGACGGTCACTCCAGGAGTATGTGCTGTGGCAAGTTCTTGAAATCGTAGAAAAATGTTCTGTGATGTCTCGGGTGGAGTCTCATTGAGCCCATCTACCACTGACGTGTTGTCCAGACAGACATATAGCTGTTTTCCATGTCCAATTGCCCTGGCTGCTGCAAGACCTTGGAGAGCACCATGGACTTCAGCATCTACTACTTCTGCTTGGAAAAGTCTGCCCTTTCCCCGGTATATTTCTTGTGTAGTGCCGCCTTTCCTGATTGTATAACCCCATCTGACTGGATGCAACGCGAGCGGGACATGGTGTGGAAGGTTGTGGCTCAGTTCCAAGTATTTGAGGTACGTGGATTGGGCGCCCCTATCACAACCCCTCTCAAAACTCCAGACACCCTCATGCTGTTCGACAGAGATTCTATTACGAAATAAGGACAGGGGGCAAAGAAATAATGGCAGATAGTCCAGCGATCGACTCGAGCCCAGACCCTGGCCGTTTACTAGCAGTGCACTGCTTACAATCTTGATATGAGGTATCCCCGGATGCCCGCCCCGCACCCAACTCCTGGCACCTGGCACATCGCAGGTTAGCCCCCAATTCCTAGCCAGAACAGATAGACAGGCTCTACTTCAGTGATCAATCTAGGCATCTTAGCCAACACTAAGGCGAGAGAGATCTCTAGACGACTCGATTATTCAGTGAACCCCGGTCCAGACCAAGCCCCAGCATCTGAGTGTCTTCTAGTTGGTAAAAGCCTCTATCGTCCTTTGTGTTGGCCTACCTCAGAACATACACCCTATAGAACCTTTTAGCCTTATAGGTTAGACGGTTCATTATATTTTGTCGATTTATCCTTTGAACAAAAGGATTCCGATCTTTCTCCCTGTCTTTTAAATCTAGATTTGCAACTACTTCTAGTTTCTAAAAGATGCCTCCCGCGTTAGATAATATCCCTTCGAGACCCGTCACCCCAGCTGTCTATGACACACTGCCAGGAAGACGTATCGCAATACCTCTACGAGGGAGCAGCTTGCAAAACGAACGTAGACCAGCCCGACCATACTCCAAATCGAAAGTCTGAGCAGCCGCAGTCGGACCTCGGGGTGGAACTGTCGCTAGTAAACCTCTGCCTAGACTGCCGGTTGAGCGACACGGCGGCGGCGGCGATCAGGATATACCTTCCTTTGCGTTACTTGGGGCAGAAGAGGCGGACTCTTTCTCGCTTCGCCGAACAGACTAGCGCAGATTCTGTACCTCCCCAACTAAACAGGAAATCCCGGTTCGTTCCCGGTCATGCGCCGTGCCCAACAGTGGGTAAATGGTCATACATACACGGTCCCGAGCGGAACTGAGCAACGGCACACCCGAGATGACACGACGACCAGCTGAACGTGAACCTATAGCGTGGGGGTAACCTCTGTAATCGAGATATGCGCCACAACATTCAGCATCCTTGCCCTTGCCTCCTGTCGGTACACGCGGTCCTAGGGTCCCGGGGTACAAGAAGGAAAGTCACCAGGTAGACGCGGTCCGCTGCTAGCCAACCGCGTAACTCCCGGAGCTTGAGTCGGTGTATGAAGCTCTTGCATTACACCTTGGTCTGTAGGATCAGCGGATATAGCCAATAAGCGCAGGCAATCAACAGTTACATGCACAGGGGCACAGATTGGATAACTCTTGGATCCAGGGGCCCCCTGGCGGGAATGCCTGTTGAGCCATACTACAGCTCATTACCCACCTGTCGATGTGAGGTGCGGCTTGCCTTCGACGATGTAGAAGAGGATCCATACGTTGTCCTGGCTACGTACCTAGGTACGCATTTTAAACACCTAGAGAAGTCAGGAGTGCCCATGTACATCTCACTCCATAATAAACTCGACCTTTTCATCTGCGATGCATCCTGAGCCATAGATTCTACGCAATCTAGTCACAGCATGTACCTACATCTTTCACGGACGTCAGGGACTCCTGAGGGCCAACGCCTCACAGCAGTAGAAAGCAGTACACAGTTTCTAACATAAGTCATCCAAGCCTTGTACGACATAATACCAAGTCAATACCAGACTCCTGAGCTCCCGTCCAGAATGCCGCAGTCTTCTGTCGGGACCTCAAATCGGCGAACCCTCCGTCCCAGGCCGGTCGACCCCACGGAGGCTTCTCAACAGCCGCTACCACAGGCCGCTATACAGCCCGCTGCCCCCAGGACAAGAATAATCAAAGTAGCCTCCAACAAAACGACAATTCAACCAGCAGCCGCAGACGGAAAACATCTTTGCCATCATTGTTCCCAGACTTTCAAATCCCCAAACCACTTTAGGCGTCACATGCGCCTCCGTAAGTCTCGAGCAGAACTAAATGCGTTGCTAATATGCTAACGTAGTTATACAAGACACCGGCGAGTGCCCATACATCTGCGAATTATGCGGCAAAGGGTATAACCGAAAAGATTATCTCTTTCGACACAAGTGGAGCCATAGAAAGAACCCGTTACCTACCGCGGCGCGACTTCCATCCTCCCTTCCCAAGCCTGACGCCGTGCGCCAGAGCGGCCTCCATTTGCCAGTCCGCAAACGAAAACATTCGAAGATTGAACCAAACGCAGAAGGAAGATATCCTTGCCCTTACGATGGTTGTAATAATCACTACCACCAGCCTAGTGACGCAAGGCGTCACTATGACAGCCGTAAGGCGTCACTATAACCGCCGTAAGTCTCGAGAAAATCTAAATGCTGTGCTAATATGCTAATGTGGTTATACCAGACACCCAAAGCAAACCCCTGTGCTCTTGGTGACATAAAGAGTTTACCCGACAATCGGGTCTCAAGCTACACATTGAATTGTGCCCCAATCGTGGAAAGGATATCCAGAAGGAAGAGGGCGATACGAGCCATGTGAATGGCATGAGCAACATTCCTGGTCCCAAGCCTGTCGCCAACACTGTCGCCAACCCCACGGAGGCTTCTCAACAGCCGCTACCACAAGCCGCTATACAGTTCAAGTCGTCCATTGAGGAGAAGAACATCAATCGGAACCCAGACCAGGCTCAGGCTGGCAACGCGGGAAGGCCTAGAAAGCGGCTAGCTTGCGGCCCGTGTCGTAACAAGAATGCCCGGTGCGACAGACAGCATCCGAGCTGCGGTCGGTGCTCCCAGCTGCAACACGACTGTAGCTACTCGAAAGGGCAGGCTTGCGCCCCGTGTCTTGAGAATAATGTCCGGTGCGACAAACAGTATCCGAGCTGCGGCCGGTGCTCCCAGCTGCGACACGACTGTACCCCCAGGCCCCCCAGAAGAACCAGAGCCTCCAACAAAACGACCTTCACCCAGACTAGGCCCTTAAACCGTTACTTGCAAATCCGTAAGTCTCGAGCAGATCTAAATACCTTACTAATATGCTAACGTAGTTATACAAGAACCAAAACCCCGCCCCGTCAAGAAAAACGGTATCGAGGAAGAAGAGGGCGATATGGGCCAGGTGGATGGCATGAGCAACAGTTCTGATAAGCTTGTGGACCCGTCACTTGGCATGGAAGTGATGACCAACGACTCGAACCAGCTCTGTGGATCAAACCACGTCAGCTTCGGGGAGAGGTACGAGACACCGGGGTCTAACCTTGTGGGCCAGTTCAGTGGTATGGAAGAGATGACCAACGACTCGAACCAGCGCCGTGGATCACGCCGCGTCGGGTTTGTGGAGGAGGAGTACGGGACACACGATGGAGGTTTGGACATCATTCCCTCTCACATGATCGAGCATCGGCTACTTCTTCCATCCAGTAGTAGCCATATGGACGCCAATAGTGCTGGTGTGAAAGATTTGTTTGGAAATGTACTCCCGGCCTGGCTTACGGGGGAATAATCAGGTACCCACAGGTGTAGTCCTGACAGGATGTGCTCATGTAGTCTTGATTTAGCCGATTCGCAATCATGGCAAGGATTGAGGTCATGAGACCGCTCCAAGTGACGCAAGGCATCGTTACAATCCACCATGCAGAGAGGGCAGCGGTGCTGGTTGATGATGTGAGTCTTGAACGTGTATATATTATATGAACATTTTCCGTATCCATGGTCTTAATAGTAGCTAAGAAGGCTTTCGATCGCATCCGTACAGGACGGCATTGTCGTTCTTAGGGAGAACGCTTGGGTCGCAATGTGACTTGGTGTGATCACGATCGCTTATACGCCCTGCCTACAAGGTAGGCCCAGTATTGTGATCTAAGGAGGACTGCATAAGGCGTGGAATTAGATAGACTACTTGGGCGCTGGGAGAAACAGCTCGGCAGAGTTGAATGGGACGTCCACGTCGGACGTTTGCTACATAATGTGGTAAAATGAATACCATGCCCCACCCACCACTCGGCCACCCCCACCACTCGGACTGCAAAATCTACTGCCACACACCAAAACATCAACAACTTCACTTACAGCGAAATCAGTCAATTCATGGTATCTTCGGCTGCAAAAACGTGCAATCTACTCGTCTATAGCGGTTTAGTTATCGTATCTAGCCGGCCGGCGACTCTGTTGGCCCGAACGGGTCTCCCTAGCGGCTACAATCTCCTCCTCTTCTTCTGAATCAGAGCTTTCATCCTCTTTCTCCTCATCAGTGGTATCTTTAATAACCACAGGCTGCGCGGCCCTGCGGCCTCTTTGAGGCTGTTCCTCACTAGCTGCCAGAATATCCGGGATATTTTTGAAGCATTTATTCGGGTTGGAGATCTTTCTGCGCTTTTTAGGGCGCATGCGGTCTAGTTCGGCCTCCAGGCTCTCGATCTTCTGGTCCTTTAGCACCATCTTTCCTGATTGCTTCTCAAAGGCTTTTGTAACCTTGCGTAACTTCAGCCGAGTGGTTAGGGACTTGTTTTTGCCCATATCCATGATTTGGCGGCTATTTTCAGGCGTCTGGAAATCTTCAGGTTCTGAACTTTTGACATGTTCAGGCTCAGGGGTTGCGGCCTTATCCTGTTGGATTTCTTGATACGATAAAGACTTTCTGCGGTTAATAGGCCAATTGCCAGTAGTTCTAAAGACAGCCTGACAATTTTTGACCGTCAAGCCGTCGTTCCTTGCCTTGGAGTAGCATCTGATGAAGTTGATCTTGTCCACAGGGGCAGCATCAGTTAGAGTAGCTAACTGAGCGATATGCTTGCGGTAAGCAGCTTTCACGGCGTTAAAGGGGCCGTTATCAAGTGGTTAAAGCCCGTGGGAGGTATGTGCTGGAAGAAAACAAAGCTGAACGTTATTCAAGAAACACGTAATTATGAATTCATCCTACCACTAAATGGTTAGCTATACATCTATGGATTTCAAGCGAAATAAAATAGAGGAAAATAAAGGAGTTAATACGTACGGGGGTATGGCTCTTATGCCCATTAAGGATCAAGAGTACCGTTTCAGAATTGTCATCTTCTCGTACCTGGTTGGCTTGAGGAAGGAAAACCTTTTCCAACCACTTAACAGCAACTGCGTTATCTATCCAGCTATTATCAGTGCATATATAATGCCAGGGGGCAATCTCTCTGAACTCCTGAAAGAACCACTGGGCCTGGAGATCTTTTCCTTTAAATATAATGCCTGGCGTAAGGGCCTTGCCCGTAGCGGAGATGGCCTCAATGAAGGAGGTCCAGCCGCGGCCTTGGTCGCTCTTTAAGAAGGTCTTTTTCATCTCCGTGCTGCCCAAAACGAGACCATCAAGCCCTAAATAGGTTAATTAATGGATAAAGTTAACAGGGGATTATTCAGGGATTATTCAGGGGCTTTCCCGTACCGAAACCCGCCATGATACCGCCCTCATCTATGTTGTACATGTTCTGGGGCTTTACCCAATTGAAATCCTCACAATGATCGAAGTACCAGTTAACAGATTTTGGCATAAAGCCCTTAAATCGAGCGGCTTCCTGTCTGCGGCCAATTTTTGTCTTTATTTGGGGGTTACGGCGAAGAAATCCATCCATCCAGTTCTTCCCAACTGTCTCAGTGATACCGTTTAACTTGGAGGTAGCCTGAATGATTGCCTTAACGGCGCTATGCGATAGGGCGAGCCCTAGAGACTCCTGACGAAGTTTCCACTGGGCTAGGCGTGTTTCATGCTCGTCGGATAGTCTTCTTTTTGGCTGCTGCGTCTCTCCCTTCGAAGGTTTGCCATTGAGGCGGTCAGACAGCGTCTGCTTAGGGATACCCCATTTCTGAGCGGATTTTCGGACCGACAGCTTGTTATCGGTGACATCTAGTATGGCATCTGCCATAGTATCCTCTGTATAAGAAGGTATTTCGAGAGTCACGATGCTACGTTGCATATAAAAGAAGAAGAGAACGGGTGCATAAAGGGCAAATTTGCCCTTATGAGGGGTAGAAATCACGGGCGGGGGGACCCCTCATCGCCGGGTCTGGCTAAAAGGATCTACATTGGGATAAACCTCAAGAAAAGAGCTATTCAGCGAACTAATTACATCCCGGATCCCTTCAAAAACAGCTGGATTCGGTATAAGTGAAGTTGTTGATGTTTTGGTGTGTGGCAGTAGATTTTGCAGTCCGAGTGGTGGGGGTGGCCGAGTGGTGGGTGGGGCATGGTATGATCCATCAACTCCAAGCATCCAAATCAGCTACATGCGAGCAACAAGCCCGCTGTTTTAACCTTCCCACCCAGTACCTTTACACCTTGCTCGAGGTATAATAATGAGCTCGCCAACAGCGCCGGCCCAGAGGAGTGGCCGCTCACGCCCACGCCATCCAAGGGGCACAGAGCAGGCAGCCCAGCGATTATAGAGCAGCATCTACCATCACCACGCAGATGTCCACACCAACAGCAACATCTGCCCCAGGAAGACGACGCCACCTACACCAAGCAAGCAGGCGCTTCATCCGCCCACAGCGCCTGAAGGGTCGACACATGGAACCAAACATGGGAATAGCCGGCTCACAACGCTTCGATCTCCCCTCTCGGTAAACATGACTGCCACTCAAGAGCGCCTTCGAACACTCCAATCTTTTAAAGAGAAGAACCAGGCTGAAAGACGCTTGTCGGCGCTGGACCGTCCTCCGAATCATGCCAAAGCCGACAACAAGCCTTCCAGTATGGGTACCGAACGCGACTCCTTCGCAGCCCTACATCCTTTGAGTCCCACCAAACGAAAGCGAATGGATGGACACAGACGGACGATCTGTCCGGTACAGACGAGCACGCGAAGCGATTTAATAAGCCCTCAATGCCAAGCAATACGAACCTGAAGATCCAGCCTACATCAAAGGGACATAGTGAGGATCGGGGCTGACGCAAGTGGTGGAACATCCCGATGCTCTTCCTGAGATCGTGTGGATTTACATTGCGTATCCTTCGCCTTGTCACGACCAACCGAACGTTGGCGAGGCAAGCCGACCAAGGCCCTTGGGAGATCTGGGTTGTCCTTAATTATACCAAACCACCACTTCCTGGTTTTCTCCTCGATAAAAAGCTCGTTTAACGACATACGATGCGTCCAACACACATAGAGTCGTGACTCTGAGCTCGTGCACTTCGAAAGATCTCGCCGGATGAGTATTGGGGATCGGCCTAGATGCAAGACCGCGGCTGCGGGTTTTGGACTCTTACAAATATATCGGTATCTTTCAATAGGCCTCCGTACGATACACCCTCAATCGTAGCTGCTCTAACCCTGTAATATTAAGACATACTCTTAGGCTACGAGCTTATGATTATCTTACAGCGAAGTGGATAAAAGAGCAACCTGGCTTCAAGTCCGGAGAAGTCGGCGCAAGGATTACAGGAGTGGCTGGCTAACTTGCTGCATACTGGCTGGCTAACTTGCTGCATACTGGCAAGCAGCAGCCCCTTTCGGCATGGTGTGAGCACTGGGTCGGACGCATGGGCGCTGCGCGAACTCGGGAGGAGCAGGCCATAACTCGGTCACTCATCCTACAAAGCACTCGCAGACTCGAGAGCATCCATAGCTCCTTGAAAAGGATGGCCGTTGCATTCATGCTGCTCGATATGAAGGACGGTGATCGTTCCGCTGTGGAGGCCGCCAGTATGTCTCGTAACGTGTCCCTCGACGCCTGTCAGAGGGCATATGACGACCATGCTCGGCTTGTTGGGAGCATGAGCTCGACAGCGGCCGCTAGTCTCAAGAGACTCACGGCGGTGCAGACCCAGCATCTTATCCTGGCTTTCAAGGAAGACATAAGCTTCCGCCATAGCCACGACATGGCATTATTCGATCGGCTTCGCATGGAGATTCTGGTCCAAAACTGTGAAGAGCCGGGGGCGGAGCAGTGGTCCTACGACAAGCGACTGTGAGATGAGCAGGTCGTCGCGATTCTCTAGATCACGAGCTGGCAATCGCGGGCACTACTGCAGCCGACCGCCGATATATTGACGATTCTTACTGACTGCCAATGTCGTGTATACGACCAGAAATTCCGCCCGTCATGTGCTGGGAGCATGTCTTGCGGCGACCTCTCGAGCATGCCGCCCGTAGCGCCTGTGCCCTATCGACATGGGAACGATCTCCTTCCGGTGCATTATGAAACCGTGTCCATACTTCTTGGTGATCTTCCGCTCTCTGCGCTGTCACCTCGAGGGAAGGCGGTCCCAACGTCACCTGAGCGGATGCTGCAGGGCGACAACACGTTGGCCCTGCCGGACGAGCCTGTTCCGGCCCTGCAAGCCGGGATGGCGACAGGTCAAACCTCGGTGAACAATCCCGCGACCCCGCGCGGTGTTATGACGCAGCCGCCTGTGCCGCCGAGCACGGGCAGACAGAGAAACCCATGGGTTGGGAAGAAACGAGGGTGTAGTCCTGATCGGAGAACCCCAAAGATTGCCAGGCTCGGAGACTCAGTGTCAGAAGACGTCAAGGGCTTGAAGGACGACTTGCAGTCCATGCGAGAACAGCGGGTCGAGGAGCGCAACGCCGACCGAGACCGCGAAGAGGAGAGATTTGCCACAATCAGGACGGAAATGGTGGGACCTTGCAAACCAGCTACGAAGTAGCCGGAAAGCCAGTCAGGAGCAGGCGGACGAGCAGATGACCAGGACCTAAGAGCTAGGTGACCAGCTGGAAAGTCTAGCGACGCAAGCTAAGGTAGCGGAAATCGGGGCCTTGACGGGCCCGGCGGTCCGAGAGATTGTGAAGTCGGAGTGTTCAGATACGAAGAGTCGGCTTGACTCATTGAGCCGCGCTCAAGAGTCATCGACCGGGGTGTTAGACGAGAGGCTGGCTCAGATCGGCACAAGTGTGCAAGCTCTCGGGTCGGCCGTCGCCCGTCTAGAGCACGCTCTGGACTGCAGGGCGAAAGCAGCCTCACAGTTCGACGAGTGGAAGAGCAGCTTTGTGAAAGCGCCGTCGTCTCTTGGTGAGCAAGGCTATCTTACACCTCACTGCCCAGCACCAAGCACCATGGACCAAAAGACGTACGAGGCCGCGCTCATTCGCGCGGCGGTATATTACTTCTCTCTGTTTCCACCAGATGTAAGCGGTGTTTTCTAGGACGAAGAGGCCCTCGATTCAACCATGGATCAATATCCCAGCCTCCACCCTGAGCACATCACTACAGCCCTCAAACATATGCACGTACTGACTTATAATTGTCCTGTTGCCGAATAAGCTTCTATGGGAGCTTTATCTAGGACTGGTTTAGTTATTGCGATCCGAAGTTGTAAATTTAAACTTGATAGTGTATGAAACGGGGATGTTACTATATTCATCATACTTGTGCAATTTGACGACCACGACAGAAGATCTGAAAAGAAAATTGCAGTTATGTATCAAGGCTGGGTGCTACCAGCCCCCCTTCTTCTGCTTCTTCCACTGTAGCCCGAGAGCAGTGGGAGTGCGACCTGTGAGGTGCTGTTTGCTGATCGCTCCAAAGTCTGGCTTGGTGCTGTTTCTGCACAGCTCTTCCAGAAGTTGCTTCTTTTTGTTGGTCCAGCGTGTTCTTGAGATCTCGCTCGTGCCAGGTGGTTTACGAGAAACGGAACGTTCACTGCAAACGGAACGCTCGCTGGAAACGCAACGTTTGCTGTGATCGGAAGGCGTCTCGATATCCATCAGGTCACAAGTACTCGAGGAGCACTGGTCATCATCCTCGTCGCTAGACTCTCCCTCGGGCTCAAATCCAGATGTAGTGAGACTGGCAAGAGACTTGCTTCTCAAACTTCGAACCGTTGGTGCGTCAAACGTACTTGGCATCTGTGCCGCTATCAACTTTTTGATCATTGGTCGCAACGACTCGGCCACCATGTCTCGCACCAACTCGGTCACGATATGCGAGATTTAATCGACCTGTTGTCGGGAGAGGGGGGTGGTAAGGCAGGATGAGCCTGACTGTGATGAGTCTGGTTGCTAAAGTTGGAGGCAATTGACAGACGCGCTTCCCGAATCCTCGACTTTGGCATCCGTGTTCGAGGCCGTCTTGGTGTTATTTTCGCCGCTATTCGAACAAGGTTCGGAGCGACCGAGAGTCTCCTTTTCGCCTGGTTCGTTGTTCCAGTCATTGATATCTGAGCCACGCTTGCCGAGAGGCCGGTCACCTAGGCCTCTGCCCATGGGGACCTTGCCATCTGGAAGTTCCAAATCTGTTCCTTCAGCGTCAGGTGCGCCGACGGTTGGGTATCCAGTGCCTGGAGGCTTGCCATCGTCTCTCTCGACGTCTTCGCTGAGAGTCATGAGATCTTGGGGTTACAAAGGCGAATATAGGTTTTCGGCTGCTGATGTCGATGATCTTGATGCAGAAAGTTTTGCTCCCGCAGGCGCTGGTGCCATGGGCTTGAACTCGTGGTCGGGGTGCGCAAGTGATGCATTTATGAGGCACGCATCGCACAAGTAGACGTTCTGGCATTCCTGGCACCGATGCCCAAGAGCATCCTCGTCCAGAACCTTCTGACAGAAGCAACATTCACCATTCCCAGCAGGCTTGGGATTGGCAGTGCTCGCATCCAAAGTGAAAACCTCTATAAAAAATTGACAAACTAGTTAAAAAACAGTGAATAAAACTAAGAAGATAAGCCGTTAAGTTGTAAGTTTAAGCGAAATATTATAAAAAAGGTGTAAACAACGAGATAAAAATGATTAAAAAAAAAACAGGCGTTAATAAAATTTAAACTTATTTTTATTAATACATGTATATCAACCTTATATAAGTCTACGTACTTCAACGTTTTTATACTAAAATTCGTTGTTTTACATTAAATATATCACGCGATATATAAGCGATAAAAGAAAACTACTTTAATAAGCTAAAGTTTAAATCAAATAAAGATTCTAAAACTAGTTTTACTGAATTTATTACTTGACTTTTTTAAGTCGTAATAAATCTTTACTTTAAATTCTATTATATTTAGTTTGAAATTTAATCCGAAACTGGAAAAAGAGTTTCAATTCATTACTTATAAAGTAATTAAAATGTATAAAATACCGACTTAATTTTATAAGCATTATATCTTAATATGAAATAATATCTATTATTATTATATATAAGGTTATATATTATATCTTCTTATAAAGGTTACGTTTGGTTGACAAATAGGTTAAAGTCTTTATTTTATAATAAAGACTCGAGTAATATAACGTTTCGTAAATCGGGTTTAAGTATAACTATTTTCCTATATTTTATATAAGCGTTAAAATATAATAAGCTTAAATATCGGCCTTTTATACAGTTATAACTATATTGTATTAATTGATAAACTTTTATTTTTACATACTTTTTTGTAATTCTATCGGTTTAGTAATAAGAAAAAAAACAATTTCTTTTTAATTTTAGCACAAAAAGTATTTAAGTTATTTAGGCTTAAAATGCGTTATAAATCTATATTTCCGGGTACGTACGAAGACTCGTATAGGGCTGGTATAACGATCGCCCTTTTTTTCTTTTTTTTCTTTTTTATTAAATATTTGATACGGGTAAGTATTATAAAGTTTAAATTTGTACTAAAATATATCGTACGATTAAAAGTTTCATGATGTAAGTAATAACTGACATAATTTAACACTTAATTTTAAAAAGATTATACAAAATGCTTAGATTTAAAGTTAAAAAACTTGATTATAATTAATAATTAGTTTTAATTATTTACGATTACGATTTATATATATGTAAAGTTTTACATTTTTTTATTACTTTAAATAAGAAGAAAGTTTTACAAGTTTTGTTTCTTAAAATTATAACATTATTAAACTTTTTAATTTTAATTTAATAATAAAAATTTCATAGCTTTTTCTTTAATATTTTCAAAATATAACAAAATAGATTTTTATTATTACACTAATAACGAGTATAAAATATATTTTAAAAACGTGATTATTTAATAACATGTTTTATTATAATTAAGATAATTTAAGGAAACATTTAATTTAAAAACTAAAGTCTTAAGGAAAAACCGGTTATAAAAATAGATATAAGAAAACTGACAAATAAACTAACTAATAATAGTAATAAACTTTGTTTAAAACTATCGACATTATATAATATTATTTTAAAGCAAGGTTATAGTCTTAATTAATTTAGCCTTTTACTTAAATATAACTGAGTGTTAAAGCCACCGCGCTCTTCTTTTATATAGCACTTACATCACTTAATACACGACGTTTTTAAACTTTATTACAGCTTTTACGTAACATAATTAATTAAGACCCCGTATATCCGTACGTTAAAACTCATTCACAAAGTTTAAATGCCTTGTTGGCTATAAGTATGGTGTTAGGTTTATTATTACTGTGCTTAAGTTTAATATAAATGCGCTTAATATTAATATATAAACATGTTATATATATATAAGTTATATTAACGTGGATGACAAGCGAGCGGCAATTACAAGCGAACGGCAACTTTTCACCAACCTCCTAACTAACATGTCAAATAACTCGACTACAACGTATTTAATTCAATCTACCAATTGGATTCTTCTTCTTCATATGTTTCTATCTCTATTGTACAAGTTCGCGCATGATGGCCAGTGTTACCGCAAACACCACAACGTCGCTCACGCGCTGCCGTTCTCTTCGGACGACGACTACCTTCACCTATTTCCTGTCTTGCCAGCTCATCACCATCCTTTATCGCCTGGAGACGTACTACATTTTTAACGAAAAGTGCTCCTCCTTTCACTAGACGTTTGTTTTTTGTCCTCTAGTGTTTACTTAATAGGTGATTGACCTCCTCTAGCTCGCGGACCTTGGAATCAACCAAAGCGACCTTATGCATCAGACCGTATGTAGCCTTTGAAAATGAGCTCAATGCATCAACTATTGATATAGGTGAGCTTTTCTGGTGGTTTCTGACTCGATTTCAGATATAAACTAACTGGTTTACCGCTTTGCTAATGGTGGTAGGCGTCTTTGAAGTCCAAGTAGTGGGTGGTAGATTAGGGTCTGGCGACAGTGTTCGTATGACAGTGACAGCATCCAGCTTTGACATAACACTTTTTGCGTCAAAAAAACAAGCTTAGTGGCACTGAAACCTGCTCAAATGTTTTCTGGTATCATAGCAGCGTTAAATGCTTCACAAAATGCTGTAAGGAAGTCCTCCTTCAAAACATGGGTTATATGACACCAGATAAGATCCTTAATCATATGACCGTAAGCTCGTTTGAACGGGCTAAAACTGCCAATATCTAAAGGCTAGAGCCTGTGTGATGAGTAGGCAGGCATACAAAGGATAATGATACTATTGTTCTGGCAATAATCCTCAAAGATCTGGGAATGGTGGCTTTCGTGACCATCTAGGATGAGGAGGCGTTTACTGGCAGTCATACGCGGTCTGGTATACTTGTCAAAATGCTGAATCCATTCCAACCCAATCTCGTTCGTAGTCCAACCGTTATCGGACACAGCCACCTTCCAATCGCGTGGTAATGTCGTGTTGCAATACCATGACGCAAGGTGGGTTTTGCCCTATAGGATGATGAGCGGCGGGACCACCCAACCATCAGCATTGACAGCAAACATTGCTGTAGACCATTCCCTGTTGCCTTGCTGAGCTTGTCTAGACCTATCACATCTTTCAGCACTTGTAAAGACCATGCCGGACCCAATAATGCCCATCATAAACCCAGTCTCGTCAAAACAATAAATATCGGCGTCTTGAATACCATGTTTTGTAATTGCTGCCGCAATTTGGCAAAACCACGCGCGATACGCGTCTGGATCTTCATTCAAGACCCTCTAGTATTCCATCCTTTGATAAAAACGCGTCCGGAGGCATGATGTGTGTTTAATAAAGTTCCGCGTCCAGTTCTTTCCAATGCGTCCATCCCCACGCGCTGCCAACAATTGATTCGCCATATTTTCAACATAAGTATGCCGGGGTGGAAATGCTTGCGCATCCAGGTCCAGAATGAAAGAAAAAATGGCATTCTCTTCAGAAACCGTAAGTTTCAAAGTATTGTGTATGCTATTGCGTCGTGATGGTCGGCCGGCAATTCTAGCCTCCAAGGTATTATATGGGACATAGAAAGTCTTAGAAAGCTTGCCAATGGTAAAATGAGGGTCGTGTTGCTTAGCTTGGACAGCAAGCTGTAAGTCTGATTTGCTATAACGTAATGCCATTATTGTTGGTTGATCAATTAGGAGCCTTGATTGAAACGTTACGTGGCTGGTAAAAAGTTACTGTTCGCTTGTAATTGCCGCTCGCTTGTTATCCACGTTATATATAAATTAATATAAATAGTTCTTTTAAACAATACATTTTTACTTCAAGTAATTACCTTTTAATAAAATTTTGAAATTTCAAATCGTTTTTAATATTAATATATTATTATATTTTTAATAAACTAATTATCCCTCTTTGTTTTACTTGAACTTTTACAGGTTTTCCTTTATAAAATAAAAACTATTTTATATACCCGTCGTGTTTAAAACAAACGATTTAAAAAAACCCTTATCTCATTATATTAGTTATTTAGTTTTTTGCTTATTATAAACTTAAAGAAATTGATTTAAAGTGTAATATTAAGCATGTGCGCATATTATTGCTATCTTTTTTATAATATAGCTATCGTAGCTAACTTTAGCCGAATTCCTTTTAATAGTCTCTTTTTTTAAACTTACTCGCTACGTAATATTTTATTGACTTTAAAAAACAGGCCCGTTTAAAATAACCCGCGTTATTTAACGCGTTGTATAATAACGTTTAAACTTTTTCATTAAATCAAATTATTTATAATATCGAATATATTAGCAATAAAAGGATTACGCGGTCGTAAAAACTACGTAAATAAAACCGAAAATTATTACGTTTTAAAAAAAATATCACCTTTTCTTCTAAGCTTCAAAAACAAGTAAATAATAAAAGTCTTTAACTTAAAACTTTAATAACTTAATATATTTAATCATACCTTAAATATAGCTTAAAACTACTTTATTTTTTATTTGTTTCATATTTTTAATAAGTATATTACGGGGTTTATAACGGTCGTTAGTCGGCCATTAATTAAACTATTTTAAAGCTAAAAATCTTTCTATTAGCCAATCTATCCGATATACCGCCTCGTACTAACAATGCTCTTTTTCTCTAACCCTCCGACTCCGCCGTTAAATCTTCGCTATAAATCTAAACCATAAGCCGATCTTATTATTATCTACGTTTATAATTCGACATATAAACTTACTTTGATCGCCGATATTACCTTCGGTAACCAGCAACTTTTACAACTTACGTAACTCGATAATTTACTTCTTGATATTATTATATAACTTATCCTATTAAATCTTTTCATACTTTCGCATTGTACAATTAATTCACTCTCATTTAATTCTTGGTACAATGAATACAATCGATCCTTGCGAAATATCTAACGTAATCTTTTTTATAAACCGTTTTTTACTTTTTAATTCTTATAAAATTAACAAATAAAAAATCTCGGTTAACATCTTAAATACTACGACATATCAACAACCCGTCGTTTAAACAAATAGAAATTAATAAACTTACGTTAAGAACTTAATTATCGCTTAATCGTTTTTTAAAATATAATAAAAAAGGTTATAATTATAACAAGTTTGAATAATGATTTTTAAAAAACCGGCCGTCTTATACGCATCGGATAGCCTTTTTATTATGATCGATTAAAGTTAAAGTTTAAAAATCCCTTAACATAACTACAATAAATTTTACAATAATAATAACTTTAAAGTTTATAATTATTTAACATAACGTAACCTTGTAAGATTTTCATTTCTTAACCATTTCGAACGCTTTTTACACCGCTGGTAACGACTATTTTAAACTACGGATACATTCAAAATTAGTTTATACGTTTATTTATAACTCACAATATTTTATATTAAAAAAATTAACAAAACTTTTTAATATATTTTTATAAAGGCTTTAACGTCAAATATAAACGTATAACGGCTTTAACAATTTATAAAAAAAAAAAATTTTATTTTTATTTTTATTTATTTAATATATTTAATATTATTCGTTAATATTTATAACTTTAATTAATCAATAACTATATATTACCATAATAGCTTGGAATTAAATAGCGCGTATGCTAAAGATTTATATTAATTAATATTATTTTATAAAGTAAAAGTCGGCTATACGCTTTCTTTTTAAAATCCTCGGCGTAGAAAGCGGTGATAACCGATTACTTATCAAACTTATTACGTAATTATTTAAAAGTTAGCTTACGTTTTTAACTCGTAAAATTATTAATAAACTTATAAAATTTAAAAATGCTTTAGTTTTAAACCGTATCTTTTTAAAATAAAAGTATTTTTTAAACTTTAATCGTTTTAATATTTGATCCCGTAGCTCGTAAACTTTTGTTTATTTGAAAATACGAATGTTTAATATTTATATTAATTGTTGGATCCATGCGATTCCAGCCTGCAAACCACCTATACCAGGACCCACATGTATGATTAGATAAGTGATTAGATACCGGATTGCGAGGTCACTTAGCTAGACCTTCAGGTCCAGCTAGACCTCCCAATCCAACCATCAGCAACATCATGACCTTGACCCCATACTCGAGTATTATGATTGATCGTTCAAGCCTGTTCCAACATTAATTAAATTATTTAATAAATATTAATAAGTATATTGATATAAAAAATAAATATATATATAACCGTGGATTTTTAGTTAAGATTAATATAGGCTAGCAGATCTTCGGAAGTACCAAATTTTACGAGTCCATTAAGAATTTTACGAGTTAAGGACCTGGGCTAACCCCTGGGTAGCCACGTAATAAGTCTGGGCGGGTAGTGCTAGCAACGGCCGGCTAGTGTTCACGTGTAAAAGGTCTGCCAGCCGGCTGGCAGCCGTGGGCCTCGGCACTCGGCATCACACACCCGTAGACCACAACCGACATTAGATGCACAGTTTAGACGGAGCCGCAACTTGGAGAATAGTATCATGCAGCCTGCATTGTTGGTGTGACTGTTGGTGATAGTAACGACCTGCCTGCAGATATGCATTCCTAACTTGGGAGGGAATCATCCAACGTCACCCTCGGCACGGCACGGGACACCCAGCATGAACATGGCGGCATGCATCTCCGTAACTCGTAGCCCCCATAGCAACTTCATTATCAGCAGTAGCGGGGCCGTGGTGATATCAGATGCAGATGCGCCCGCTGTCGAAATTTACAACGTACCATGGTGCACGAGGATGGTGTACGGCACGGTGTTTCTGCACGCCCGTCTATTCATCCGCGCTTTGGTCTCTAGGACCAACATTTTCGGCCCTTGCACCTCGTTCATCAAGCAGACATGGGTAATATGTGATGTTCCTAGGTAAGAGCCCCAGATGCATGCGAGCAATACACGTATCAGATACGCGTGGGTTCACATTGTGCCGTCACTAATAGTACATTGCCCAATTCGCTCAAACTAAGCCCAACCTCCCAAGTGCTCAGGGGCCGTCCCGAAACGAAAACCATCTTATGTCATCGATGCTATTCCAGGCTCCCCGACCCGACCTGAGCAGAGGGAAGGACCCCAGACTGCGGACAACATCCTTCCTTGTGCACTTCTTCCTTGGTGCTTCCTGAAGATCGCAAACGACGTCTGGTAGCACCAAAATCATCAATGTTAGCTACACCTTGTCATCCTAGACGTACTCCTCCGCAGTCGTGAATTGCTTCGTGCACATGATGCCCGTCCCGAAATCGATCCTGTCGTCCGGATCCCTGTTCAGACCTTTCGTACTCTCTCCGGCGGCCGTGGCCGTAATAGTGCGAAGCTCGAACTCATCAATCTTACGGTACGCTTTCCGCGAGTTCACTGCGTCTACCTGGTGTTTGTTCCAGGAGTGACCGGTCTGATCGGTGGGTTGGTTGGAGGATGTTCTGGACCATGATCTCAGTGTTCGCTTCAACTTCCCCATCCACTCCGCCTTCGCGAAGGCCTTCGGAGCCGCCGGGCCAGCGTAGATGATAAACATGCAGGTCATTTCGGCGATGAGCCACAGAGACAGTGCCGAAAGAGTGAAGGCCGTGTCATCTGAGCGGAAATAGAACACCGTGTAAACAAGCCGTGAGGTCGCCGAGCCGCAAGCCCTGATCATGGTCATTCGTGTAAGCAAGCATGCGGCAGTACTGGTATGCCATTGGGTGGCCACTTACAAAACACCAATGGCGAAAACGAGAGAAACGCCTATCTTCTTATTTCGAGAGAGCTGAAGAGACCAGATAGCCCTTTGGGGGAGGATCAATGTGATCAGATCAAGGATGACGTTGATAGAAGCCCCGGTCAGTATGATGACTTTGAAGTCTAAGCACTGAGATCCCGGAATAGTCTTGTCCCAGATTCGGCGGTAGGGAAAACAGGAAAAGTCTTCCAGAAACACCGCAATGGCATAAAACAGGACGTTGATTGCCATGACGACGTGACATGTCCACCAAAAGGCATTCCTGATGCCGAAAGGGACGAAAATACGGCTCCATTCTCTGAGTATCAATGCCTTCATTGTCAACATCGTGACCGAGTAGAAGTTCGAGCCCACATGGATGATCTGTCAATGCTGGGTGAGCCGTCTTTACTGCGTGAGAAACGGCTCTGGGACTTACGTAAAGGAGCGTCCAGAAGTCCCTGAGACGAACGTCCCACTGATGAACAAAGAAGCCAATGATGTCAAGCAACCAGTACGTAACGTAGATGTATCCGATGAAAACGCCCTGTGTATACGGGTTAAAGACAAGCCAGAGTGACAAGCGTGGGCCACTCAGAAAGCGAGTGTCTGTGAGAGAGAGAGAGAGGCCTAGTTACAAATGCCGCGATCATCAAGCCTTGAATATTGCAGATTAGGGTGGTGTTCTTGATTGGAGGAGCGGGGTGTTGACAAACTTACAATCCTCGGCTAATATCTTCTTCCCGCGGATGCATTTGGCGTAGAAGCGAACCAGCACGGCCAAAGACGACACGGCCAAGCAAATACTAACAGCTGCGTACGCCAATGCGTCACTATTCTGAGGATTTTCGAAGTTGGGCGCTGATACTCCGGGAGGCAATGGGAGTGCTGGACCGTCCAAGATCGCATCTTGCTCCGCCGGCGGCAACTTGTGTATCTGAGTCAAGTCCATTGCTCTGCACAAAATTCGACGATTGGCAACAGTTCGTGGCGTGTACGTTGGACGTGAGCGAAGCTATCGAAATCGTGCTAGCCCCTTAGATCAGTCACAGAAAACAGAGCCAGTCACTGTAGGCGATGAACCTTATTAGATAAGTTAGCAGTGAACCCCGTGCCAATGTAATAATAATCCTTCCTTGTGTCAGGCTGTGTCAGGCTCCAGCCCTTCTGTAGGATGATCTGAGCCCCTCGCTGACGTTGGTCGCTGAGGGGGACCACCAACAGCTGAGAATTCAATAGCGACGCCCCTGGCTGTGGCCGCAGTGGTAGAGCTTGGGTTGCATTGTGAGGAGTACCACACATAACCAGGTCGAGGCAACAGAAGATCACGCATCATTGCTGCCAATGCTATGATGTGATCCAGGCCTTGCAGCAGTGCCTATGTAGCGGTTGCATTTCGGCGCCGACATTCAACTTTGGTGGCAAGAGTGATACGGACCATGCATATGCAGGTCTTTGGATGAAGAAGTGGCCGAAACATGCGACGCACGATAAAGGACCGACTCAACACGTCTGGTCGGCTGCGCATAGTGGCGGTTAAGTCAAATCAGGCCAGGTGTGGTGACACACCATCGTCGGGGTACGACGTGCCGCGGTCGGCGATGCCCAGCTTGCAACCTGATTGGAGACATGAGAGAGAGAGAGAGGATGGACGTCTTGGTTGTGCTGTGAAACATGTGGCTTGAGCGGTCACAAGACTCGCCGAACTATCCCCCGGTTCACCGATCGCTTACAGGTATCAGGCACGGCAATCAGGGGATTTGCGACGTGTTGGTGTCAGTTAGGTAGGCAGCTACTTCCTCCGAACTTCGAAGATATTGAACTCAGTTTCTGCAGTCATTGGATATCTCATCTTGCAGACCAGCTTTGGCACGGCGACGAGACACCAACATGGCCACGCCTCGAGAGCAAGCAAGCGCACCTGCAATAAAAGTAGCAATGGGATTTACGGAGTCCCATTGGCGGGCATTGATCGCACTCCTTGATGCTGTTGTACCATCCATTGTCGAAGGCGAGGCATCAACCATAGGCCAGGGCCACATAGCTGTTCCTTCCCATCAGCTACGAGAGCTTCACCGGATGGCTCTATGTGGCGCCCGAGAACGTTTCAGTATTGACGAGTTCCGTCATTACATGGCCTCGCGGCCATCCGATGACCCCAACTTCGTGGCTAATGTCAAACGAGCCATAGGACGACTCCCTCCTGGATCGATCTACCAGCTACGCCTCATGCTCAGTTTCATGCTGACGCGCCTCGGGAGCATCATCAGCACCGGATACTGGGCGACCTTCTCGGAGCAACCGCTTGCTATACGGGCCTCAATCCTGAGATCTTGGCAGCAGTCATGGTTTCCTCTATGGCCTGCTCTCGCAAGGATATTCATCACGGTCGGCAAGGTCTGCTGGAGCCAGACGAACCAGCTCTACCTCGAACTCAATGGCTACAAGGCTTATAGTGATGACACGGTGCCGGGACCCTCTGTGGATTTCAACTTCATCCAGTTTCAAGAGTCCATCGAGCCCGCCGTCCTCGAGACGGACATCGTGATCGTCGGCTCGGGGTGTGGCGGGGCCGTTTGCGCAAAGGTTCTCGCCGAAGCAGGCCTTCGTGTGTTGGTCGTTGAGCAGGGCTACTACTTCCCACCTAAAGATCTTCCAATGGCATTGGACCGTGTCGACAACGTTTTCGAGGGTGGTGGCGGACTAGCGTCTACCGACGGCTCTACGCTGGTCACGGCAGGAAGATCGTGGGGCGGAGGAGGCACGGTGAACTGGAGCGCCTGTCTTCAGACCCCTTCGTACATTCGCAAGCAATGGGCGAAGGGCGGTCTGACCTTTTTCGAGGACGCCGAATACCAAGATAGTCTCGACCGTGTGTGCAACGGCATGGGCGTAAGCGAGGCCGCCGTGCAAGGCAACCACGGCAACATGATCTTGCTTGACGGGTCGCGCAAGCTCGGGTGGCGGGCGGCAACCATTCCTCAGAACGCTGGCGGTTCTATCCACGAATGTGGAAGCAGCTGCGGCCTCGGTTGTCGCACTGGCAAGAAGCAAAGCCCAGCTGCGTACTGGTTGCCGGCCGCTGCCCGCGCTGGTGCGCGTTTCGTGGAAGGCTTCGAGGCATCTCAGGTTCTGTTCGAGGCTAGCAACTCATCGAAAGCTACCGGAGTGATAGGACAATGGACCTCGCGTGACGAGGACGGCAAGACCGACACGTCGATGGCCAGGACCCGTCAGACCGTGGAGATCAGAGCGAAAACAGTCATAATGGCTGGCGGCGCTCTCAACACACCACTTATTCTGCTGGGGAGCGGCGTAACGGTATGTTGTTTTCTAGTTGCCTTGTCACTCTTATCACCTCCATCATTCCGTCGACCTCCCTGATAGTCCGGACCTCTCAACAGTTGTTAACAATGCCCCAGAACCCAAACATAGGCAAAAATCTGTACCTACACCCCGTGGTCAATGTCGTCGCTACATGGGAACCAGAGGTGAAACCTTGGGAGGGTAAGTGCACTCGAAACCGAGCTTCCCGTGCTGACACAGAGTCCTAGGCGAGATCTTGTCAAGTGTTGTGACAGAGTTTGAAGACTTAGATGGAGCCGGCCATGGCGTGAAGATTGAGTCGTTGGCGATGCAGGTAGGCTTGCATTAATTCTTTGACTCACATGTCAACGACCCTTTGACTTACCATCTTTAGCCATACGCTGCGATGTTACTGTGTCCGTGGAAGAGTGGGGTGGATTTCAAGGCGGCAGCACTACAATATCGCCACATGACCTGCCACATATCATTGCCTCGCGACCGTGATGCAGGTAGTGTATCTCCTGAACCCGTCGACCACAGCCCAGTCATCCAATACACCCCGTCCAAGTTCGATCGCGGACATATAGCAACAGGACTGGTTGGCATTGCGAAGCTGTGCTATGTACTTGGTGCTACTCGATTGACTCCCGCTGTTTCTGACGTGCCTTCTTTTGAGTGCATCAGACCTGTGGACGATCGTGACCTGAACGACCAAGATTTTGTCGAGTGGGTTCGTCTGCTTGAACGAACCAGCTTGGACCCAGCAAGAACGACGTTCTTTTCGGCACATCAGATGGGTACCTCCAGAATGGGCACGAGAGCAGAGACTAGTGTCGTGGACGAGAACGGCAAAGTTTGGGAGTATGACAACCTTTACGTTGCAGACGCCAGTGTTTTTCCAACAGCGAGCGGCGTGAACCCTATGGTCACTGTCATGGCTATTGCTGATCGCGTTGCGAGGGGCATAGCAGCAAACTACGAATTGATGTAATCACAATGCGGTGGAAATAGTTACGGAATAATTGCCAGTAGGAAGCTTTGCACAACTCCCAATGGACTTAGTCGTGATTGAATGCCATTGTGAAGGGCTAGCCTCGTCCCCATACACGCCATATATATTTCCCCTTGTGGATCGCGGTAGTGAAAGGTAGACGTAACCAAACAATGAGTGCGGCCAACCTTCGCCGTCCGGCTTCACGGGTAACACGGCAACCGGCTGAGCGGCGAGCTTACCGCCTGATGGAGAGTCAGCGCGAGGCAATGTTGGTGACACAGCACCTGCACATGCGGTGACGAGTGTAACCCTTTTATCTACGAGACATTGGTACGACAACGGAAGCCAATCTGTCCTATAATGGGCAGAAGGAATAGAACCGGCAGATCCAACACAGAGCGCCAACCTTGCACCCGGATGTGCAAAATGTACTCTGAATGGTGTACCTTCCCAATATAGAGCTGCATGGAGTCACGTAGACGGTAGATTGGAGCGTTGTATCTCATGGGCGAAGGTCTGGAGCACCGAATGTACGTGGAAACGATCCCCAACCTGCCCGGGCAGGTAAAGGGGGGAAAAGCCGTATGTGGGAGTGAGGGCATGTAACGACGAGGCTGCATCAATGAGGCCAAGCCACCCATCACGCTTCATTGCAACATTGCAAGGATCGCCACACCGCTACTCTCTTAGACAACGACGGTGTGTGTCTTCAAGCAATGTATACAGTGCAATTCAGGACCAACGAGCATAGAATGGTAGGTTGCCTGTGTGGCTGGCACCATTGAGCCCGTATATTGGTCGCCGAATGCTACGCCTAACAGCCTTCCTAGAGTTTACGTGACCATCGACCCGAGAATGCGTTCGCCTCTTACGAGGAATTCCTCCTTATAAACCGAATCATGCCTTAACTGTTTCTATGCTAACGTGCCTAACGTATACCTAAAGCCGTATAAAAAAGAAAAGTAAGGTTTAACTTAAAGATTAACAGAAAGATTATATGAAAAATGAGGTTAAAAAGTTAAGTATTTATAATTAAAAATTAAATAAAAGTGGGATTTTTTTCGTAAACTAAAATGTATATTTATAACTCAAAACATTATTATAATTATAATTACTTCATATATATTAAGCTTGTTTACTTAGTTATTCTTAAAATAAATAACTTAATAAAGATTAAAAAGTGTTCATAATTAAGTTAAAGAAACGATATTATATAACATTATATTATTTACATACGTATATTCGTAACTTAAAACCTTTATTGTAGACACGGTAAAATGTTTAAAATTAAGGTAAATCGTAAGTTGATACTATATTTTTTTTAAAGATTAAAAAACCTTAGCGACTTATATAATATACCTTAATTTCGACGTATATTGCCGATATTAACTAGGTTATATATAATTGCTCGTCGGCGTTTTTACGACCGCCGTTAACCGGCTGTATAAGTTTTACCAAACAAGCTTTACTTAATGTTAAGAATAAAGCCGTATTAAGACTTAGTTAAAATTGAAAGAATATAAAGCTATTATAAAAGAACTAGTTAAAATAAGTCGATAAGTTTTCTAAGTTATGAAATATTTCGGTACGATATCGTTACTTTAACCAATTTTTTTTAAAGGTAAAACTTAAAAAAGCTATTATTAATTTTAAGTTTTATTATCTTTATAATAGATATTTTATGAAACTATAAGCTGAATTTTTTCAAAAATTTAATATTTAAAACGAAATCTTATTTAAGCCGTTAGTTATTTATAGACGCGTTTTTAGTTACATACTTTTCATATCCCGTTTTTATACCTTACTTTAATGGATTAATTAGTAATCGGTTATTAACGAGGTAACGTTTAAGCGATTAATTATAACTATATCGCTTAAGCTTTATTATTATTTAATAAACTAAGTAATTTAAAATTATATAACCTTTATTTACGAACTACTCGAAATATAATCATAACGAACATAAGAACTTAAACTATATAAGGGTTTTAATTAACAACGTATTTAAAAACAATTTAAAGGTTATTTTAGACTAAATGCGACAAATTTTAACTTGATTAACCGCGATTATTTATAATATATATAATAATTAAAGATTATGTAATGTTATTATATTATTCTTAAAGCTTTTAAATTAGGATAAAAGTTATATTCTCAAATCTTAAAGCGTTTTATCGTAATAAATAAAATCGGCTAAATTATTCACTGAATAACGAAGAACTCGACTTATTTGACTAAACAATAAAATTTTATAAAAATTTTATATAAAACTTAATAATAATAACTATATGGTTTCAATAATTAATTATAATTCACGGTTTTGAATAGTTATTATAAGTAGTCATGGAGTAAATATTATGTAGTTGACTTTAAAAATGTATAAATAAAATATTTTAATTAAAAAAATTTTTTTTAAAAAGGTATTTTAACTAGTTATAATTTTACTACTTATAAATTTATTACTAATAACCTTATTTTTATGTACTTTAATACTTTTTATTTATTTTATAAATGTAATGTTCACATTTTGTTTATATTTTAAGTTAGTCTAACTGTTAAAGATCTTAAATAACGAAATTAAAAATTTAAAAAACGTTATAAAGTTATTAATTAAGAAACGTTTTAAAAATTAACTGTTGAATAATTTATCGCGTATAAGTGATCGGAATAAACAAGGAATGAAGTATTCTTTATTTTAAGATTTATAAAACAAAGCTAGAACAGCTTGCGTTTATATATAAGGAGCTGTTTAAAGGCGAATCTTTAAGCCTAACTAGTAACGTAAGTATTACCTTACGGTATATTCTTCAAGTAAATAAGCGTCCTTACGTTATTTAACGCATGTAAAAAATGTTTTTTTCAATATATATAAATAAATTGAAAGCTTATTGCTTTAAATATACTTTTTTTTAATGATTTTAATAATATTAATACTTTATTATATGGTAAGCGCCCGTCATTAGGCTATAAGTCGGTTGGCTAAAGCGATATCTTCAAAATTGCTTATCATATTGTTTTTACACGCGATTTTTAAAACTGCTTCTTTTAATTTAATTAGTAATTTATTAATACTTTATTGCATTATTTTAACGTAGTGTAAAAGTGCACTTCTTAACACTTTTTAAATTTTAAATCGACTTTAATAATTACGATTTTTAAACTAAAGAAAGCGCAAAGGCTATTATTTTACGACTTAATTATTAGGATTCCGTATAACGGCGTTGTACGAAAAAAGGGATTTAAAACGTATAGCAAGTATTATATTATTATTATTATTTATTCAAGGTTTTTTTTCAATTATTATAATTATAATTGTTAATTTAATATAAGTTATTTAAAAACGTGCTAACGACTTGTTATCGAGTTTTTCTTATTATTACTTTCCAATTTTTTTGCCGGCAACGCGTATATTATTTACTTATCTTTTACTTTTTTTAAAAAGTGTGATGGATTTGCCTTCCATCATGGTGTGTGCGCTCCCACCACGTGACTTGGTGGGGTAGACGCGTTGCGCCGCTGCACAGCTGGATAGATAGAAGTGGGACGGACTTGGAATCTATCTCTTCACCAGATTTTGGTAGGATGTTAGATCCTTCTTCCTTTTCCTTACCAGAGTATTTTTGTACAATACGAGTGATCGATGGGCATCTTCATCCTGTGCTTGTATCTGCCCCGTGACAAAAAGGAAGTAATGTGACGGCTATGCTTTACTATGTCTTTATAACGTATTACTATCGTTTTTCCGGCCCACATTATTACACAAGATATTTGGTTATCTTAACTAGATAGCTTCTTTTTATTTTTGTTGTTTTAGCTTTAATATAATAATTAACAAAGTAAAAGTTGCTTAGCTGCAGGCCTCGTCCCAGTTTCTATTCACTCGCCGTAACAACTTTTAACCTCTGTAACGACTCAACCAGCCTATATGCTCTTAAACAAGCTGATATCTAAAGAAACACAAAGAAATGTCAATTCCAACGCAATACTTGCGATATCTACAGCCTCATTGGTTATGGAGATGCGTATAAGTGAATGTGATGAGTTTTGGTGGGGAGACTGTCCCACTTGGGGGGCTGTCCCACTTGGGGGGCTGTCCCACTTGTATGCCTCCGCCGTTACGTCGTCTTTCATAGGTCTTCACAACATATATCTTGCTTTATCCTCGTTAGTTCCTGGGTGAATCTTTTCTTCGCCCGACTCCTCCAGTATCGACAGGTCTTCTGGCTCACTTCACTCATGCAGCTTTATCTGACTCTATCTCGTACTACTGCACTGTCCGCCATCTGCTTTTGAGGAAGCAACCGGGAGTTGCCATGCCTCCCCATACTCACCTTGATGTGTCCCCTCCTTCGCCCGAGGGGCATGTTGGCTATCCGCAAGACGATCCTGTATGCATTGTCGGTATGGGTACGTTGGATCCTCTGGCTTTCCAATTTGGACTGTCACTTGACTAATAAATCTTATCGTAGCATGCCGTCTACCTGGTGGTGTAAGGTCGCCCGCCGACATGTGGCAGTTTCTCTTAGAGAAGAAATCTGCTCAAGGTATTGTTCCACTGGAGCGCTACAACATCAAGGGGTTCTACTCTGAAGAAGGTGATAAGGCGGGTGTCATGAACGTCGAAGGTGGGTATTTCCTGCAGGATGATGTCCGTCAGTTCGACAATGAATTCTTTGGAATCCACATCTATGAAGCTACCCATGGTAAGCAAGCCTCAACCACTCACTTCATACCCAAGTGTTCAACCTCCTATCGATGCGTACAAATCACTCGAGATGATTCAAAACGTGCTTGTTACTGACACACCATAGTATGTCCCACCAATTTTCCAGCCGCATGCTTCGAACTTGATAGTAGCAAAGTGCTGAGACACAACAGATGGATCCTCAGCAACGTAAGCTTCTTGAGGTCGTTTTCGAATGTCTCGAGAACTCCGGCACGTCTCGCGACCAAATGTCTGGCTCGAACACTGGAGTATACGTCGGGAACTTTACCCAGGATCACTTGCTCATGCAGGTGCGAGACCCAGACGACCTGCGTCGCTACCACGCAACCGGAGCCGGCTTGACGATGCTAGCAAACCGCATAAGCCATGCCTTCAATCTGCATGGCCCGAGGTAAGTCTTACCCCCATTGTCTGAGTGAAACATCTGGTCACATCACGAACCCTTGCTCATGGCCGACTTCTAGTCTCACTCTCGACACGGCATGCTCTTCGTCTATCTATTGTTTGCACCTTGCCGTCGCTGCACTCCAGGCCGCCGAGTGCGACGGCGCCATTGTTGCGGCTTCCAACCTGATCATGATGCCAACTCCGCACGTCGCGGCTATGAAGGCCGGCATGCTATCTCCTACGTCGACCTGCCACACTTTCGACGTCTCAGCTGATGGTTACGCAAGAGCCGAAGCTGTTGATGCTATCTACCTGAAGCGTCTCTCGACGGCCATTCAAGACAACGACACGATCCATGCTATTGTCCGGGGAACAGCGACCAATTCGTTAGTACCGAGTCATATCACACCTACAACATGCGGCAAATGAGAAACTGACCTATTTTGTAGCAATGGACATGGCCCTGGAGTGGTATATCCTAGCTCTGAATTCCAAGAAGCTGTGATGCGCAAGGCCTACCAGAACGCGAACCTTGACTTCTGTGATACAGATTACGTCGAAACCCATGGCACAGGAACCGAGCTGGGGGATATTGTAGAGCTTACTGCCCTGGCCAGTTGTTTTTTACCAGGCCGCAGCGTCCCTTTGAAGATCGGAGGCGTAAGTGGTTCTGATATTCTTTGGCGTGGTGGATATGTCCGCTCCTCGCAGCGTACCTACACGCAGACGAAGCATTTGGCGCAGAACTAACACCTCAAACCCAGTCTAAGCCAAGCTTCGGACACAGCGAAGCAGCGAGCAGTCTCACATCGATAATCAAGGTTGCAATGGCCTTTCAGCACGGCATACTTCCGCCTACCCGCGGTATCGAAACGCTCAACCCGAAGTGTGAGTCCATCAACCTCGTCATACGTGAAGCTGAGTGTAAGACTAATGCGACTATTCCAGTGGAGCTGAGTCGCCGCAACATAGAGATTGTGACCAAGCCCCAAACGTGGCCGCGGGATCTTCAGCGAGCCAGCATCTGCTCTTCGGGTTACGGGGGTGCTAATGCCCATGCGATTCTCGAGTCTTTCAGCAGCTACTGCAAGAAGACGACGAAGACCAGACTTCCTGTTGCTGAGGCAGGACAATGCTTCGTTCTGCCCGTTTCGGCCGCATCGAGGAAGTCTTTGGAAACCCGCGCGGCCGAGCTCTACCGAATTGCCCGCTCTTGTGAAGCTCATGATATCGAGAGTCTATGTTACACTTTATCAGAGCGCGTAACGTCCCTCGGGTGTAGAACCTCGTTGGTACTCACCAAGAGCCAGAACCAGCCAGCAAATGAGTGGACACTGAACCCGATCGACGCGCTTCACTCTGGTGAGCTTGATGCACTCGACCTCGCGCTTGTTTTCACTGGCCAAGGAGCGCAGTACCACGGAATGGGGAAGGAACTGCTTGACAAAAGCCCGATATTCCTTGCCACGATTCGTGACCTTGACCAAGTCATTCGAAATCTTCCACCGCGATACTCGCCTGAGTGGACTTTGGAAGACACGATGCGAGAAAGTTCTGATACGAGCCTGGTCCACGACGTGGCCAGAAGTCAACCTCTTTGCACAGCAATTCAAGTTGCACTAGTGAACATTGTGCGATCTTGGGGTATTGGCTTCCACTCAACCGTGGGCTACTCTTCGGGTGAGATCGCCGCGGCCTATGCGTCTGGTCTCATAAGGTCGGTTTGCCTCTACTGTTTCCTACCAGAGGGTTCCTGATCAAGAAGCTGATTTGCATACGATCTCACAGTGCATCCCAGGCAATACTGACTGCCTATTTTCGTGGCTATGCTGTAGCACGTGAACCAGCCCATGGAGCAATGCTCGCCTGCGGACTTGCCGCTGAAGAAGCCGAGTTGCTTATTCACCAGCTCGGACTTTCGGATCAGGTATGCATTGCATGCATCAATGCAGCTAATAGCGTGACTCTCAGCGGGTTGCGAGAACACATCCACACAATACACTCAGAATTGATCGCCCGCAAGGAGTTCTCCCGGCTCCTCGAGACAGGCGGGCAGGCATACCACTCTCCCTGGATGAAGGCCGCCGGCGCCGAGTATGAGCAGCTCCTCAGGCCGTACTTCCAGAGTAGGGACCACCAGAGTCCTTCCGCAGCTATCATGTACTCTACTGTTAAATGCAGCAACAACGGCCCGATAACCATTGATCCATCTATGGACATGGCGAGATACTGGAGGGATAACCTCGAAAGTCCAGTCCAGTTCGAATCTGCTCTAAGTCATATGATACAGAAGCAGAGATTCCATCTTCTCGAAATCGGGCCTCGTTCGGCATTGAAGGGTCCCATCAGTCAAATTCGTATCGCGGCCCGACAGGATGAGCAGGCAATCCCATATTCGTCTTCGCTGATCAGAAGTCAAGACGCCCATCTTTGCATGCAACGGCTAGCTGCGAGGCTTTTTGTACATGGCCATGAGCTGGAATGGCAGGCCATCAACTCGATACCCGAACAAAGCCGCGTGGTGTTCCGCGATTTACCACCGTATCCCTGGGACTACTCGGCCGGTTTGCGTTGGTTCGAGCCTCGCGCAAGTATTGAGTTACGCAACCGCACCTATCCACGCCATGAGCTGCTTGGATCGCAACAGCTAGCCGGGAATGGTGTGGAATGGAGCTGGCGTAATGTACTTCGCGGCGACGCAGTGCCGTGGCTTCGCGACCACAAGATCGAGAGTCAAGTAATCTTTCCGGCAGCAGGGTATCTCGCTGTCGCTATGGAAGCCGCGACCAGACTCCACGCGACACAAGCTGGGTCCCTCACCGAGCCCGCCGCATTTGAGTTCGAAAATGTGGCTATCAACTCGGCCATGGTGGTGCCTGACGAGGACGACCTCCAGAAGGTTTCTGTCGAGTTGCACACTACAATGTCACTGCGGAAGATATCCGCTACGGCCTTCTCAGCTAATATCTACGACTTCACCATTTCCTCCTGGGCCGCTGGACAGAGCGTCGTGCACTGTGTGGGAAATGTCAAAGTATCGGATTTTTCCCTGGAGAAAACCGTATCCATACATGATGCCGAGCCCCATAAGAACTGGACCATGGAAAAATGGCAGGAAAGATTCACGGAGGAGGGCATTTTCTTTGGCCCTTACTTCCGATCCTTGACCGGCGTGCAAGCCGACAAATATCAAATTCGATCTGCTGCTCGATGCACAACCCAAATCCACCCACCCAAAACCAGACATCAGACCACTCGTTATGCGGTACACCCCCTGACGATCGATGCTTGTCTACAAGCTACTCTAATAAGTGCTTCTCGCGGAAATCCGGACTCATTCCGGGGTTACGTGCCCGTTTTCATCTCACAGTGCCGCATCCAGAGGCCGCAGTCACTGAATGCCGACCAAGAAGGAACCATACACGCGCAGTCGCAGGAGACCGGTGTCTCTACCCTGCGAGCCGAGTGTGTCCTCGAAGATCCCCAGGGACTACCAGTCGTTGAGATGGGAGGTGTCAAGCTGTCGAGGTACATGGGGAGGGTAGCCCAGGAGGACGTGAGCGCCGACCCTCATTTGGACCGACACCCGGTATTGCGGGTACAGTGGAAACCAGATATCACCCGACTCGCGTCCGATGCCATACCACGACTGGAGGCTTACATTGAAGACTTCGTCGGAAGGGATGCTAGGCCGACTGGCGAACAGGTGGTTACTGCCACGATTGGAGCCTTACTGGACCTCGCAGGTCACAGAAACCCTCGAATGCATCTCGTATCGGTCGGTACAGGAAGTGAACATACGGCTGGGCCTTGGTTGGATATTTTAGGCCATGGGACTGCTTTTCCACGCCTCCGATCCTGGCAGTCGCTGCGGCCGGTCGACACAGACCGGCTCGCCGCCGATAACTCGAAACAGGACACGTACGATGTCCTGGTCCACGAGGTAAGTACCTATTAACAATAACATGGAAATGGATATAGAGGCTGACTTTTGTCAACAGGAAAACGAATCCCAGGGTCTCTGGGGCTGCGCCCCTCACCCACTCATATCTCTCGTCAAAGAGAGTGGCATTATCATCACTCGCAATTCCGATGCCGCCTTGGCCGAGCTAGAAGGTGCGAACTTTTCGACAACGGTTATAAAGGACCAGGTGATTCTAGCCGTGCGTATGACGGAACGGAAGATTTTGAATGGGCAAAGCGTGCTGCTTTTAGTGCGTCTAGAGGCCAACCCCTTCTTTGCGGCTTTGGCCTACTAATGTTAATATCACCAGGGCCGCAAGACGTCTCCCACTTTGGAACGACTATTCCTGAAGCTAAAGAGTCTCTTAATGAGGTCCGGGGCCGGGAAGGTCGACGCCGTTTACCTGGATCAGCTTTCGACCGCAACACTGTCCGGGGAAACGGTGTGCATCTCGTTGCTAGAGATTGTGGAGCCATTCGTCGCCACCTTGAGTCAGAATGACCTGGAACTGCTACAGGGTCTGACAAGCACCGTGAATGAAATCTTCTGGCTGACAGGAGCAGATATGCTAGGCGCTCCGAATCCCGACCTAACTCTAGTTCGCGGCCTGGCCCGGGCTCTGATGGTTGAGCAGCCCTCGCTCCGGTTGACCGTCATGGATGTCGGGTCGCTTGAGGCGCTTTCTTCCGACTTATCGAGTTCTTGCGACATGCTAATTCAGGTGTTGCAGAGCCACCGTGACGCTGACGATACAGAGTTCATTATTTCCGATGGTCTGCTCTACATCAGCCGCTTCGAGCCTGACATCGCTATCAACTCCCTTTTTCGACGCCGCACCTCTCGGAACCACAGGCCACAGGGCAAAACACCGCTCTCGGCGGCACAGCCTGCCACGTTATCCATCGGCACGGCCGGTCTTACAGATACGATCTACTTTCGGCATCTCAGTGAGCCCTACACGGCACCTCCCGTGGGCTACATCGACGTACAAATCAAAGCGGTCAGTTTGAATGCGAAGGACGTCTACACGATGAGCGGACATGTCGAGACGAGAACCGGAACGTCTGCAATCGAGTTTGGCGGGTTGGTTACGGCGGTTGGCCCAGGTGTACGCCATCTGCAACCGGGAGACCGAGTCGTTGTGCTCATGCCAAACGATTTTTCGACGACAGCTCGCGTTCCTTCTTGGACTGCGCATAAGCTGTTACCGGGAGAAGAACTCACGGTAATGGCGACTTTGCCGACGATATATTGCACAGCACTGTACGCTATCCAGAACCGCGCTCATTTACGTAGCGGTGAGTCAATATTGGTGCATTCCGGTGCTGGCGCTCTGGGGATCGCTGTGATTGCCATTGCACAGCGCGCCGGTGCGGTCGTGTATACCACCGCCGGCTCAGAAGCAAGGAGGAAGTTCCTCGTCGATGCTCTCGGTATACCTGCCGGCCACGTGTTCAACTCCCGAGACGACTCATTCACGACCGGAATTGAGACAGTTACGAAAGGACGTGGTGTTGACGTCGTCGTTAACTCGTTGGTCGGAGATCTCATGCATGCGAGCTGGCGCTGTCTGGCCCCGTTTGGTCGCTTCGTGGAAGTGGGCAAGCGCGAGATAGTCGACAACGGAATGTTGGAAATGCACCGTTTTGCCCGCAGTACGACCTTCACGGCATTCGACTTGTCGGAGATGTTCTTCCAAGAAGGCGAGTACTACGAAGGCCTGTTAGCTGGGTGAGTCAACACTGTGTCCCAACATCTGCTTGATGTGTTTCACCAGCTAATAAATTTATTTCTTATGTAGCCTGGTCAGGGACGTATTCGAGATGTACCGCTCAGGTCAGATCCGACAGGTACCTACCACGACGTTCGATGTATCCCAGATTGCGGAAGCGTACCGGTATTTCTCCTCCAAGGATCGTATTGGAAAGATCGTCGTGTCTCTCGAAGACCAAGAGAGCCTCTTATCGGTGAGTACTGTCTCTCGGCTCTCGCGCACCAAAGCAAAATATGCTGAATCTTTGTCTTCAGGTCGCACCTTCGAGATTCATGAGCATCTTCAACTCAGAAAAAGTGTACCTGCTTGTGGGTGCGCTCGGGGGCTTGGGACAGAGCTTAACGCAATGGATGATGTCCAGAGGCGCAAAGAGGTTTGTTTTTCTCCAAAGGTCCGGATGTGACAAGCCAGGGACCCGGGAGTTCGTGGATCACCTTCAACGAGCAGGCGCGCTGTTGACTGTTGTCAAAGGTGACGTGACCGTCTTGGACGATGTTGCGGCAAGCGTTGCAGCCTGCAGAGCTCTCGGGGGACCTCTAGGTGGCGTAGTACAAGCGGCAATGGGCCTCCACGAAGATCTTTTTAGCCGCATGACCAGCGTCAGCTGGCATGCGAGCGTACGACCGAAATGGGCTGGCACATGGAACCTTCACGCTGCTATCGACGGCTATGACGAGTCTCTCGACTTCTTCTTGATGACATCTTCAATGAATGGAACAGTGGGCTTACCTACGGAGAGCAATTACTGCGCTGCGAACGCGTTTCTTGATGCCTTCGCATTCTGGCGCAGGAGCCAAGGAAAACCTGCCACGTCCTTGGGGTTGGGAATGATTTCCGAAGTGGGATACGTTCATCAGAACCCCGACATCGAGGCGCTCCTGTTACGAAGGGGCACCCAACCGCTGAGTGAGGATGATTTCCTCCAGCTTGTTGATCTTTCCCTTGGAGGAGCCGGGACACAACACATGAACTCATTTTCTGAGATGCCGGCTCATATGCTTTCTGGACTGGAGACTACCGGCATCCGCAAGTTCTTTGAACAGGGGTTCGAAGTGTCCCATTCGGTGATCAATGACCCTCGCTCGTCCATCTTGGCGGCAGCGTTAGAGGCCAGCCGAGATGCAGCAGGACGGAGTCAGGATAAGACCTCGGATATCGACGAACTAGTGATGAGGATCCCATGGCTCAAAGGCCTACCAAAAGGCGCTTCTACCGTTCTTGGAGCAGAGAAGAACGCGACGACATTGAAGGAGTCCATACTGTCAGCTTTACGGCGGCGGTTCTCACACCTCTTGCTCACGCCGATGGACAACATCGATAACAAAAGACCCTTTGCACAGTTTGGGATCGACAGCATGATTGCAGCTGAGTTCCGAACATGGCTCTGGAACTCATTCAAGGTCGATGTGCCCTTCCTTGACCTTTTGAGTCATCATGAGTCCTTGGGTACTGTCGCAGAGTTCATCGAAGAACAATTGCTAAAAACATGATTCCAGTATTCGGAGTTATCCCAAGCCTATTATGGTGCCCGTTCGGCTGGATGGCACGGGTATACACAAATCAACCGTTGCTACTCTGGCTATAGCTGATCGCATTGCGAGGGGCATAGCAGCGAAGTATGGCTTGGGACCGGACCGGAGCCGGGCGAGGAGATGACCAGACTCACGAGAGGGAGGTAGAAACTGCGTTGGGAGAGTTAGGGTGAGGTGATCAGGTATAGGGACATTAATGCTGGTATCTGCGGCGGAGGGGCGGCTGCTGGGGCCAATGAGGGTGGCTTAGCGGCGCAATACAAGATATGAGACATGCACAAGGGTCTCGAGGAGGGATTGAGAATAGGCGCGTTGGTTGACATGATGCTTGGGCATCACCAAAGGCTAGAAGACATTGATGGTGCAGAATCTGTGAGTGCTCCGAACGATGCTTGTGGGTGGCATGATTTGAACGGTAGATTTGTTGAAGACACCCGATAAAGTAGTACCTTAGGAAGCACGCTGGTTTTGGTGCCAGACGTGATCAAGAGCGACCTATCTGTTCCGCTGCCAATAGATGCCCCTTTGAGGGCGGTTTCGGCACCATTTGGACTGCAGGGCCTACCAGCTTTGTGGACCCAATGGATTTATGGGTGTTCTAGAATAGGGGTGCTAGTCATTGGGTCCGGACTTACCTGTTGCCAAAACCGCCTTCAATTGGAAGGGGTTAACGGGCGGGAGTGGGTCACTGGTGATTCTGTCCATGTGGTGACTTATCGGTGAGGCAGGTAATACCTCAAGGTAGGTAGGTAGGTACTGTGGGTGTCGAATCGCAGCTTCTAGCTTCGTTTGCTGTACCTGCGTTACCGATGTCGTCAATGAAGCGGCATTGTAACAATCTTCGCTTCGATAAATTAATACTCGATATATCTCAGAGTTTTTACTCTGTATTGCTGCTATCTTGATTATGAACCTAGGTTTGGTAGGCAGGGAGCACTAGTGTCACTACCCCTAAACGAGCATGTGATGAGGGCCTGTCCGTCCATCAGTTCAGCCCCTTTATAGGTCTGATGTCGCATAGATGGCGGTTGTCGACGACGAAGGCTTGTAGTATGTGAGATGGACTGATTCGAGTTGAATACCTTGTCGATGTAATGTAGCCTATTATGATGTAGAGTCGTCGTGGGAGCAAAAAAGGGGAACATGACGAGAGATGAGGCACACTGACAGCCAGCTACGCACTCCCACCTCCAACAGCCCAGCACATGGCCGAAGCAAGACCCTGCATGTCAAGCTGTGCTTCCTATGCCCCTCGAGCGCGAGACATGGACGTCCCCTAGCACATCCTTTGCATAGACATTGCCTCTCATCCGGGGGATAATCTTCCCCTTTTGTGGTCTCACTTTGCGGTCTATCACCATGTGGAGTGACTTTCAGAGCCCCCGCTCGAGTCTGGCCAGGCGGTCTCTTGTGTTGTCCGTTCGGTTGCTTATCTTCATGCTGTTTTCACTGGGCCAAGTTATCAGTGTAAGTTTCTGATAAATGTGACCGCAGGCCATAAGGGTTGGAGCATCCCATTGGATGTGGCAAGTCACGCATGTGTTGGTTCTGAGCAAGGAGATAGACAGATCTTCCGAGCCAAGTTGTATCGCGCCTCAAGTCTGGGACTGGCTGCCAGACCGATGTCCTTGGTCAATAGCGGTAACCCATACTGACCTAACACCTGGTAGTCCCTGTTATCATACACCTTCGACTTAGTGATGACGTCGGTTGCCATATCAAACGGACCAGTCGCGCTGTGAAGGCTACATTTGTCAATGCGTTGGTGTCGAAGTGACGAGTGGATTCATTGTGATGGAAACACGTATACATAGATCGCCCGCTGGCTTATCACGAAGCCGTCTACCTATACCGGGCCATGCTTTTCATGTAGCGAGGTTCGAGCCAGATTTAGGGGGGAGGATGCGTGGGGAGGATGCGTGGGCACTTGTTGTCCGTGCTCACCGTTTGCACAGTATCGGCTACCTGCTGGTCCAGTCTACCATGGAGACTGGGACACCTCTCGACCTATCAACTTGTAACCCGAACGTGGGCTTACTCCTACGGATTTCGTTTTTATTCATAGCTGCCCTCCCACCCCCGCCCGCCTTGAAGTATACACTTGGACGTGTGTCGCTCGAACATCAACATCCAAGCACGGCGTACTATTTCCACATTGATCCTACCTTCAACATGCCAATTACGAACCCGACTGTGGCCTTTCCCGTCCTTGGATGTATATTCGCCCTCGCGGTTTTGGTCGTGCAATTCTTCATCGGTAAAAACGACCAGGGACCCACGCTGATGCCCGAATTTGTCCGCCGGCTATGGGGCTTACAGCCGTTCTTTTCAGTATCCTCGTTGCTATTCTGGATCTTATCGAAGACCAAGGTACGTGGCGAGGCCCAAGGAGTCCTCTATACAATGGCCCTATGTCTGGTGCCGTACTCGATCCAGTGTGGCGATGTAAGTTGTGCTCAAAAATGAAGTGCCGTGCTTACTGGGCATGTAGGTCGTTTTTCTTGTGCAACTCACACCAACAGATTCACCACATCCATTACTATAACTAAAGCATCGCTACTTGCTTTCAGTTCGACTTTCAGCTTCTCCAGTTCGTCTTTACCAGAAGCCGCCCACTGGACTTTTTTGGCGGCCAGGGGAAGGTTGTACTTTGCAAACAGCTCGTCAATGCCCGTGGCGACATCGGTGCACTTGACGACGATTCCTGAAAACATGTCGTGCAATGCTTTGGGTATCCTGTCTTCGAAGCCACTTTGCAAGAGATCAACCCTGCCCTTAAACGAATCGAGTTCCTGGCTTAGGGCATCTATGCTGGGTTGGGCCGATCGCATGTCTTCCATGACTTGGTGTGATGCCTTCTGTTACAACGCGTATTCGTTGGTTCGTAACACCTTCCTAGCCTTGGCAATAATGCCACATAAAGTAAGAACTGCCATAGTAATCGATAATGGATCCATTGTAATGGAGAGCTCGTAATGTATATTATGTGTAACTGAATGTGATTGATCTCGTGACTTCATCTGCCAGTAGGTATCAAGGCTGTCGTTTCAGGCTGTGCCATAGAACGTGAGATCATGGGGGGAAGCCCCATGAGATATCAGAACAATATCGCAGCTCTCTTGATATTGTTTCAACCATCTCTTCCACCCGTTTCCATGCGGGGTTACTCCAATAGTGGCTGAGGCTGCACTGCACATCCGCGGCCAATGGACAGTCCCTTTCGCACCGAACATTAACGGTTAAGTGTGATTCACCAGGTACACTGCCCTCATGCATGGTGCGTGGCAATCATAGCTGTCAATGCGACTCTAGGGGTGTATCCCAATTCTTCCAGAGATGTGTACAATCTGGATTCGGCAGGTCTTGTTAAATAGGCTACTAGCATTCTGTGCTACACTGACCCTCCAAAAGTCTCCGAGCATCCACCACGCTAGTTTCAAAACGCGTGTACGCGCTCGCGACCCCCTTCCTTCTTCACCTTTTATTTACTTAACACCAAAACGATGGATTTACCAATGGTTGGTACAATTCTGACCAAAAATCGCGGGCCAAACCAGGAATTTACTTCCGAAGCTCGTGCAGCTATTGTGGCTGCCAGGGCAGCAGGCGCAAGGCGCGACGATGTCACGAGCGCGTTCCATCTGGATCGGCCTCAAACCGTGACCGACATTATTAACACTGTTAGAGAGCATAACACCACGGTCTCTTGACCTCAAGAGGGAGCCATAAGGACTCTAAACAAACATAAAGAAACTCAGCTAATTAAAATGGTACAAAAGTACCCCAAAATTACCTATAAAGAGCTCAAAAAAGGGAACAGGGTCTTTAGCTCTTATACCACTATTAAGCACATTCTTCGCACTTATAGGCTTCACAAGTAAAAGGCAGTAAAGCGGATCAAGCTTATAAAAGATGACGCATAAGAGAGGCTTGTTTTTTATAATAAATATGACTCTCCGGAGGCTCTGGAAGAGCTGATGTGAACGCTCTTCTCAGACGAAGTCACAGTCTAGAATTCACCTGATAATCCGGGTAATTGGGTCATCTGCCTCTCTTCTGAACGTTATAGACAGGATCTCATGAACCCTTGGAGCCATGGGAGACCCCGTATTTCCATTATGTGTTGGGCCTTGATCTGGTTACGCGGCGGAGAAAGTGGCCTAAGCAAAATCATCTTCTGTAAGCCCGATGAGGATGCTCCTTGCGGAGGAGTATCTTCAGCTTCATATCAAGACGTTCTTGAGGAAGGGCTCCTTCTGTTCTACGAGGCTGAGGATCCTTTTATGCAAGATAACACTTATATCTATCAATTTGGGGGCACTCCAAAGTGGCTAGAGGAGCATGACATCTGGACGATCAATTAGCCTGTTCACAGCCCTGATTTGAACCCGATTGAGTACGTTTGGGTACTTCTAAAAAAACAGATATAGAGAATCGAGCCTGATTTTGCTGATTTAAAGACTAATATTGCCCACAAGGCATATGCCAGACAGTTAATCAAAAGGGCGTGGTCAGAGATCGATCCTGAGGATGTACGCATTCTCGTCAAATCTCTCGGCAACCAAATTGCCACAATGAAAAGGGCAGGCGGTTGGTACATACACTATTGAATAGTTTATATAATACAGTTTTTTCTATATTATTACAGTGAGAGATGGGTGCATAGTGAATGCTGAAAGTTGGAGCATGTAGGCGTGTAGGACTGATTGAAAAGTGGGCTCGGAGACTTCTGGTCGGGGAGTGTAGCAGTCCACTTTCACCCCGTTCAACAGGTCCAACCATCATCTCCAAACTGGAAATACAACGCAATTCAGTTTAGCTTTATTAGTCCTGGCCCTGGTCCCTTGCACTGCTCCGTCCAAAAGAAAATTTTTAAATTTTTTTTTTGGATGGATGACCGGTGCATATAGGTAGAATATCTACTGCCCCATGCAGCTTATGAATCTGGGGATTGTGGGTCTTCCAGTCTCTCTCGACCCGCATTCTGAGCATTCTCCCGCCTCGACCGACGACAACCCACTCAACTTGACGGTCGAGGACAACAATTGCATTCGAGTAGTTCGAGGTGCACACCTCTCAACTACTTCGCCACATGCCTTCCTTGAGACCTGCCCAGCATCATTTGGAGCAAGCTGGTGCACCTGGGCGCAGAAAGGATTGACGACTGCGACCACGACCGTAACGCCGACTACAACCACGAGAAATACGGTGCTGCCGTTGCTAGGCAACCTGAACCCAGAGCCACCATGTCCCCCCTGCAGTATATACCTATCCTGCATGATACACCTCCCTAGGCCCTTGCGAAGTGGAAATACTCCAGCAAATCCGCAGCCTGTTTTAAGCGCCAGATATGCAGTTTAAACTAGTGTGACAGCCATGATGTGCTTGACAAGACCCTTGGGCCTTGATGCTGCTATCTTTGATTGGTTTACTTGCTTGAGACCCTGGCACTGCTGCCTAGCGCTACAAAAGCAGAATTGATTTGTTGTTGCTATAACTCGTTTGAACCCCTCACCGCTACAGTTAAAGGGTCGCTTTCCATGCTCTGTCTCTTGGCCCACGGGGAGTCGGGGAGTCGGAGCCCGCCAGGACTATATAGTATGGATCGAGAGAAACTTAGCAAACATCTCAGTGCTCGCCGTGGACCCTGGCGCTATGGCTACGGCATAGTCCGTTAGAGCACCTGGTTCGTCGGTGTCATAGTATTCCGAGTATTCGCAGTCATCCTCCCCAGGTTCTTACTACTTCTATACCCCAACGGTACCTGGCGCGTGCCAGGGAAGTCTGCTCGCGATGTTCTTGCCGTTGCTTTTGACTGTGGTCCGCCACCGCTCACCGAGCAACCCAAAGGTCTTTCACCTGAACGGCTCGGAGCCTGGTGAATACAATTTCGAAGCAAAGGACCCCCATGGAGGGAAAGGTGATTTGAGAAGGCAGTCTTCGACTCACGCAGCTGGAAAGAGGTGAGAACATGGGCGGCCCTTGATAATGACAGAGTGTCATCCAGTGGTACAGCGGCGCCAGTGCCGGACGACGACTTCCCTGTTGTCGATCAACCTCAAGTGACATCTCTCCTCGAGACGGCAGTATTCAGAGCCGCGTAGACGATCGCTGCCAGTTCCGGAGGATGATCCTGCAACTGGTGTAACATCAAACCGAAGAAGCATCACGGCGGCAAGCCTCAGTATCTACGTGACAGAGAAATGCCGGCCACACTCTTACCAAAAACAACTATTTTTCTTGGCGCCCCGCTGTTAGGGCGCAACCTCTATATCTGCACTGAAACAGGCATTTATTTCAGTACCTGACTATCCTTGCCAAGGCGCAGAAAAATTTTCTCACAAGCTGGATAGCACCCCTTCACGATAGGCCCCCAAATACGCCAGTGGCCGTCCCAAAGACGACTACTGGCGGCGTGCTCAAATCCCCGGTCCCTAAAAGAACATATGGCCCGGCAACCCCAAGCAAGCTCCGCCAGGCACTGCTCGACGACATCAACAGCAGCCCGTCACAGGTCTCTGAGGCTGACTTCACTATTGTTTCCCCTCTGAAAAGAAAATCCTGAAATATTAATACTAGCAGCATCATTGATATGGAAGTACCTCAATCAAACGAAATCTCTACAGACCAAGCCATTGGAGGCGATACAGGGAACAAGGTCTCTTCCTCAAAGTGCCAGGACCAAGTAGCCAAAATACTGGCTAAAGACAAGCATCTCTATGAAGCCAGGATGACAATGTTTCAAGAGTGTGCTGCAGCAGTCGATAAGACACTGGAAAAAGCTGGAACCGAACTATACTCTCATGCCAAGGAGTTCAGCACTTTCTTCTCCAAATGCCTGAACAAGTGGCTAGAAACCCGAGATCTGACCACAAGAAAGGCCACTTCTGGGGGGATAGAAATAGGGAAGCCCACCATGACCTTTGCCCAAGCTGTCTCCTCTGGCCAACGACAGCATCCATGAACAGTCAACACTATCATGAAGAAAACACAGCCTAGTGCCCTCATCACTATCAACCAATTGAAGAGGAAACAGGATGATCTCTGGGTCTTTGTCCGCATGGATAATAGCCACCTTGAGCCTTATGGAATCAAGTCTACACTAAACAGAAGACTTAAGCTCCACCCTTAGGAGCTTAGAGAAGTGACACGTTGTCCTTCTGGTTTTACCTTACACCCAAGGGACAAGCCAACTCAGGCTAAGCTTCTGGCTTTCCAAGAAGAAATTGCCGACATTCTCAAGGCACAAAAGATTGAGACCCACACAGTCTGGCATCATTACAAGGTCAATAGATGCCTAAGAAAGGTCATCAGTGCAGAAGGGTTCATAATCGATATTACTGACACTGTTGTTACCGATGAAGTTGAAGCCCAAACAGGCGACAGACCTCTGAGGTGCATACTCTCAAAGAACACGATTGATTCTGATCCAGAAACTACATGGATAATCTCTCTGCCCAGTGCAGCAAGGAAACCATTCACGCTTTTTGCCCACTCAATGACCTCAAGGCATATTCAACACACCCCCAAGGTTCACCAGTGTGCAAGCTGCTTCAGATACCATGGTAGGAATTACCGATGCGAAAAGCAAGTATGTGCACACTGCGCCAACACAGTACACCAGGGAGAGTGCGAAAAACCAATCCCAAAGTGTGTCAACTGCAAAGGACCTCATGCTGCCAACTTCGACAAATGCCCTGCCCGCCCC